CTGAGACCAATTCGCAATTCAGTCCATATTGCAACGGGCCTCGTCATCTTTCTTTTCCATGACGTACAGGAACGAATCATCCTCCAATGCTTAAGCAAGAAACCACTGGAGGGCAGTCTCCGAATCCTGACATATTCCTGCAGTACTGCTACTTAACTCAACGAACAAATATTTGCCGGTCACATGGTACGCAGTTTGACTGCCTGCTCCACATTCACATTCAGGCGAGTCTCGGAATTTTCATCTGTGACGAGAGTACACACATTAACCTTGTCTTAATACTGGATCACATCTTCTGTAGCATATTGAGACCAGGTTAACTGGTCGATAGGGTCCCTGATCAGTTGGAACGGTCGCTATCTTCCACAGCGTTCGCACACTGTCGTTTGGGCTGTATTTTTTGTACTTGCAAGAAATGACTTTCTTGATTTCAGCCACATACACATACACGTCTCCTTCAGGTAGCGACGAAAAGGAAGATTTCATTACGAGACATTTGGGAGTTCGCCTGAGATTTCTGGATTCCTCTGAAGTTCACGGTTTGCTGTCGAACTTGGGGAGGCTCGAAGTTCGACAGTATGTATGGTTCGAAATGAGCTGCACCATCATTATAGTCGTCATTGTCATTGAGTCCAGACGAACGTTCATTCTGTCGGTGTGGGTGCTCCCTGATCAGACTGGGCCACAGGAAAGGCAAGACTGGCATCACAAACATGAAGGGCGATGGCGTCTGAATTTGAAGCGATGCCAGCGAGCATCTGCATGATGTTGGCTCCCGATTTGGCATTTGGCCGCCACCTTACAAATGTGTTATTTGTAGGCAAATGAGTTCGGCCAAGAGTGGTACCAAGATATTTTATGGTATTTCCCGTGTATCACTTATGCCAATAGGAACTCACATTAAGACTTCATTTCTTTGTTGTCGAGAAAGTCAACGCGATCTTGCTGGGGATCGGTTTGAGCAGCCACGTGCTGAAGTCCGAGTTCAGAGTTTTCTTGATCTGCTGGTAAGTTTGGGCCCACGTTGAAAAAGCTACATCGTCATCGTAGATAATTTTGCGGATGTTGCGTCTGGCATATCGTTAGTGTAAACATTGAACAAAAATGATGCAACCACCGATTCCCGCGTAAGCCGATTATTGAAAGTTCGCGGACAGCTGGTTTGGAGAAAAAGGCATATTTGTTTTCTGTTCCTGATCAGGTTTAAAGGGTAATGGCACCGTGCTACCTTGATCACCTTCAGCAACCGGCAAGGACGTTGTGAAGCCAGAAAATACGGAGCCTGCTTTCAGGTTTTTCTGGAATTTAACATCGGCGTTGGATGCTAGCGCGAAGCTCCTGTGACGCCCAGCTCAGCTTATTCAGATGCAAAGCTACAGCTGGAGAAATCCTCGTAAGAATGGTACGAACACTTTCCTTCTCGTGGAGAGTAACGACACCCTAGCTTATCTGATTCACTGTTAAGTTCATATCTGTGATCTGTGGTTTTACAGCACTCTCGCCTAAGCGTCAGTCTATATCGAAACCACGAAAAACCTAAACGTGCAGCCAACAGGGCTTACGCATAGGGTAGATCTCTCGATATGGCGATGAAACTGACATGTTACCAGAATGGATTGAAGAGTGAGTCAATTTCAGTCTAGACCGGCATAGACAGATAACCAATTCGAACGTAATACATGGCACGTACGCAAAGGAAGAGCAGAATGAACCTCTGCCTGAAAATCAACAACTCAAGAATCCGGAAATGACCAAGGACGACCTTAGGTGAGGATCTCGACCCACTCTCCTCTAGACTCAGGTTATCTGCTGTCAAACTTCAGACAATGGCAAGGGTCCAGGAATATTGTGAGAGATCGTCTGACTGGTCTGCCTCTGAGGCTCGAAGGGTTAATCGGTTGTCAAACCTAGGTGACCGGTAATCCTTCGGCAGGTCGGTTGGACAAGTAATTTCCTCCTAGTCCTCCTTTCTGGGGACATTCGCAACACATGCCCACTTCTTAGCAGTCGTGACTTCTCA